CTCGCCCCATGCATAAACAGTGGGGGGGGGGGCAAACAGTTCCTGATCCCCACCAACTCACCAAGAGGAATAAAAAAATGTAAAATAAAAATAAACACTCTTAAAATAAAGTTAAACTTCGATGAATTCAATTTATTAATACAATAAACAAAATCATTCAAAATCAATAATAGTTTTAAAACATTATCAAAAATAAACTATAAATAAATAATCACAGAGGATGATACATTATCATTATTGACAGATAGATAGAATAAATTATTTAATTTAAATCAACATAATCGTTTACGTAATGTTTTTGCAGATAGTTTTTTTATTATTGGTTTAAAGTGAATGTTCTGAAGGATATCATTTTCCATGCACATAAGTGAAAGCCAGGTCAAACGCTGTTGTCCCATGATGCTACGAAGATGATTTTTTTTTTCTTCGATTTATATCTGGGAAAAGTAAAACGTGTTGACGAGAGTTATTCCCCTTTAAATGCTTTAAAACTGCCCAACTTTGATTCGCTTTTATAATATAAATTTTGAAGTGTGCTGATATATTTCGTGGGTTAAAATTGGGAAATTGGAATTTTAAATCCAATTAAATTGTCAAAATCTTTCAATATTCATTTTAAAAAAATGTTAAGAATGATGCCTCTAATAGAGTGAGTATAATAGAAACGGGGGCCACTTACAAGCTAATTTTAATAAAATAAAATACTTAGATATTGGCAAACAAATGTGAATAAAAAGTACCGTATTATTTAAGTATCAGTACATCAGATCATTGGTTTGATATTGAAGAGCCTCTAAATTAAAAATAAAAAAAAGACTCAAGGCCTAAAGGTAGTAATCAGTATTTGGTTTATTATTACTATAAGTGGTTTTATATAGCTTGGTACCCCAGCCTAGGGCTGGGCTCACCCCGCTGTACATACAATTTAAAAAACATAATCAAGAACTTAACAAATTTATTAATTAATTAACGTACATTGATTAAATCAAACAAAACAAATGTATATTTAAAACTATTTACATCTCAAGCCATGGACGACACTCAGTGCCATCGTTTTACGGTCAGAAGGGGGGGAATCAGTCAGGATAGTAGAGTTTAAAAAGAAGTGTTTTGAGAGCAGTTTTGAAGGTTGTGATGGTCGGTATATTGCGGATGTGAAGTGGAAGAGAATTCCATTGTTTGGGGGCACAGAAAGAGAAAAATCGTTCACCGTATGTTTTAGTGCGAGTTTTGGGGACAGAAATAATACGCGCGTCTGTGGAGGTGCGAAGCTGTCGAATTGGTAAATAGACAAAAGAGAAGTTCGGTAAGATAGAAAAGGCCGGAATTCGAGAACAAGTTGTGGCAGAGAACAGTGAGTTTGTAGACAATCCGTGCTTGTACTCGGAGCCAATGAAGTGAATGACGTAGTGGTGTGACGTGATCACGCATTTTTTTTTTTTTTTGCCTTTAGAACTATAGTCCAGCAGCTGAGTTTTGAACCTTTTGTATTGTTTTAAAGGCTTGTTTTGTTGAACTTGGCAGAAGAGAGTTTCAATAGTCAAGACGTGAGAGAACAAGAGCATAGACTAAAGTTTTTGTTGCACTAACTGAGAGGCAGTGGCGGATGGAGCTGATTTGGCGGATAGCTGTGTATGCAGAGTGACAAATGTGAGAGATAGGATTATCGAGAGACATGTTGTTGGACAGAATATAACCAAGATTCCTGGTGGAGGATGTAAACTGTATGTCGCAGTTACCTATACTTGAAATAAACAATAGGCCTAAACAGACAGTGCT